AGAAGAAGAAGAAGAAGAAGAAAAGAAGAGGAAGAAGAGAAGAAGAAAAAGAAAAGAAGAAAAAGAAGAAAAGAAGAAGAAAAAGAAGAGAAGAACAAGAAGAGAAGGAGAAGGAGAAGAAAAAAAGAAAAAAAGAAAAGAAGAAGAGAAAAAGAAGAAGAAGAAAAGATGAACGAATTCATTTTTGGTCGATTAGGGGAGAGGGAAGGAAGGTCATTTGCAGGGATGGGACGATAAAAATGCGGCGAAATACCGAATAGCTGAAAGAAGTGGCGCCAGAAGAGACGAGGGATTCCATTGTCTCTCCCGAGACGAATTTAATCGTTGTCCCTCGATGGAGAGAGATCGACAGAGATATCCTTAAGGAGAGGGGGGAGGAGAGGACACAATCGGAGAACGTCTTAATTAGTATCCCCGATGCACGAGCCACCGCGATCGAAAACGATTAGATCTTCCTTTTCCTTTTTTCTTTTTCTCCTTCTTCCCCCTCCCCCCTCCATCTTTATCTTTCTATCTTTCCCATCGATATGATCTATCGATAAACTGGTTAAAAATATGCCGGTGACAACGGCTTTACACGTGTAACGCGTTTCCCCTGATTTTACAATCTTTCCTTGTTTCCGTTTTCGAAAATAATAATTCTGGACACGATGCGATAACATCGTGGTAGATGTTCTCTCTTACTTTCTTTCTTTCTTTCTTTTTTTGAAAAGTGTAAATGGGGCATTAAAGCGCAAAAGAGATGGAGAGGAGGAGAGGAGGAGGAGGGGAGTGGATCTTAGTTTACTAATTAAGACACCGGCGGAGATCGGCCATTGTCTCGATAACAAAAAACGTGGAACGTTTCTCTCTCTGTATATATATATATATGTGTGTGTGTGTATGTGTATTGGCTCTGTCGAGTGTTTGCGATTAAATCAGCACGTCCGATCGAGCGAATTAAGTCCTCGGCGTGGGTGGACCGAAGACCGGGAGAGGAGAAGGATCAAAAGAATGCTTTCTCTCTCTTTCTGTTTCGTTCGACTCTCTCTCTCGGCGCGTGCAAAAGCGCCGAGCGCAAATAAACTCGGAGGGTATGGAGGATTTGCATGTTCGATTATACGCAAGTTCCAAGTTTAATTGGACAGTGATCGAGTCATTGTGGTTTCCTGGTAAATATATATATATTTTTAGATTTATATCGGGATTTTTTAAATTTTCCTTGAATATTTTTTCATAGAAAAAGAAATTGACGATTACGAATGAATACTTTCAAAGAATATCGACATCGTATTGTATTGAATACATTGAATTTTTTAAAATTTTTCTCTTCGATATTTCTGGAAAGAAAACGAACGAGAGACGCCTATGAACGATCATTTTTATCAAATTTGTTCAAACATCTCTCGACGCCTATGAACGGTCATCGTGTCTTCAATTTTCTGTCCGATTTTTCAAAAGAAAGAGATCAAAGCCTATGAACGATCACTTTTATCGTATTTCGAATTTTTCAAAATTTTTCTCTTCGATATTTCTAAAAAAAAAAACGATTGAGAGACGCCTATGAACAATACTGTATTTTCTGTCTGATATTTTTCGAAAGAAAGCGAACGAGGGACGCCTTATTTTTATCGTATTTTAAATTTTTCAAATTTTTCTCGACAATTATTATATAAATAGTCATCTCTAATTTTTCAAACTTCTTTTCGATATTTCTCGAAAGAAAATGATTAAGGGATATCTATGAGCCGTCATTTCAGTCAAATTTTTTCAAACTTCTCTCCTCTCTCCAAAGAAAACGACTAAGAGGCAGATCCTACGAATGACAGCCCTATATACGTTTTATTTTTATCTAAATTTTTCAATTTTTTCTCGAATACTCGGAGGAGGAAATCGAGATCGGCGCCTATGAACGGTCGCGTGTATCCGTCTACTCGGTTGCGTCTCCCGCACCGGCCACACGGCTGAGCTTTGTCTTGTAAACGAAGCCACCAGCCTGATTCGTATCCGGACGTTGATAAATTCCCCCGCAGAGTTTAGCAGTTCTTCGCGGAGACTGGAGCGAAGGAGCCTACCGCCTTATCCTTCCTTCCCATTCACCGCGGAAGGACGAATGGTCCTGGCGCATCCTCCAAACAGGCTTCTTCGCCCAACCAACCTGGCTGAGAAAGGAAGACTTCGTGGGAAACCGGTCGACCTCTCATCCTCTCATTCACGGAACGCTCTCTCTCGTTAAGAAAGAGCGGACCTATCTCCTCCCTTTATTATTAACCCTTCCACTCGTGTCTCACCGCAACACGGTAGCACCCTTCCTTCCTCCTATTTATTATTTCTCATCTTTTCTCACCTCTAAAAAAGAAAAGGTTAATGGAAGTATTTTCGTGTCGATTTCAAGAAAAATTATTTATTAATCATTCCATATATATGGATATCTCGTTACTTGAACTCTTCGATGCTAATCCTGATCGAGAATTTGTCCGAAATTTACTTTTTAAAATATTCTAAATATTCGATAAAATCATCAAGAAATAAAAGAATGTAAAAGAATCGAGAAAAGGAAACCGGACACGAAGATTTTTATTTATTTTACTAGAAAATATTGAAAATTATAAAAAGCTATGATTTTTTGATAAATCCTTACCGAGCAGAGTGAACGGAAAACGACTTACCTCTCGAAAGACGAATTAGGCGTCCAATGTTTGCCCTACTTTGACCATTGAAACATTTCTCTTGGTCGTGTCAAACATCGCGCTTTAAACGCGTAGTAGACGCAATATCGTTGCGCCCGATCGCAATATTTCTGGCCTCCGAGTAAACCGCGTTTCGTCGCTTTGCTTATTTCGCTCGCGGGACATTGCATAACAAGGCTCGTGGAAAGAGAACTCTTAAATTACAACGGGACGTGTGCGCACGAAAAGTCACGCTCACTATCATGGCGCCTTATATTTTTTCTTTTCCGTCCCTCCTCCCTTCTCTTTACTCACGACTTATTCACAGCCCTTCGATTTAACCAAGAGACACGTCGCGAGGGTCGAGGAACGTCGTATTTTTGAACCTCGTTATTTATCACGTATCAAAACCAAGGATCAACAATTCTCTCTTTCTCTCTTTCTCTTGCAATTTCAGTTTACTTGAACATTATATATATAGAGAGAGAGATAGATAATATATTGGGTTATTCGAAAAGTAATTTCGTGAACAGAATTCGACAAATTTAATCTCGCAGCAATTTCTCGAGTTGTTAACCGTCGGTTTGCTTTTACTTTATCTTCGTTAGCTTCGACTGGTCTCCCGGAACGTGGCTCATCTTTAACGTTGAAATTATCGGAACGAAATTTTGAAAACCACTGGCATACCGTTAATACACCTTCTCTATAGACTTTACATAACTTTTTTCTTTTGATTTTGCTCATCTTTGTTATCACACACGATCGCGCACAGAATCGAACGAATTTTTCTCATGCATAAACGACGACGAAATGCCAATGCTCTCGAAATATGTAATAACACGGTTTAGAACGAAGTTGGCTGGATAAACGTTCGACTAGCGACACTCGTGCGAGAAAACGAAATTACTTTCCGAGCGACCCAATAATTTCGACTCTAGAATGAAGTTGGCTGGATAAACGTTCGACTAGCGACACTCGTGCGAGAAAACGAAATTACTTTCCGAGCGACCCAATAATTTCGACTCTAGAATGAAGTTGGCTGGATAAACGGTCGACTAGCGACACTCGTGTGAAAAAACGAAATTACTTTTCAAACAATCATCTATCTATATATACAGAGAGAGAGGGGTCTTCTTTATTACCGTTACTTGGACGTATTCCCGTTTAACGGGTGTTAATCGGCAGCGAGGATTTTCAGAGGCGGTGGCCGCGGCAGAGAAGGGATAAAGGGTGATCCGTGGTCAGTGGTTACACGCTCATTTACGTCAAGCTGTGCGCCAGTCACGCGATCAACTCTTTAATCCTAAGCGTCTAATACCCACATTGTCGAAACCGCACCGCGCCGCACCGCGCCCATTACCTACGCCTTAATGCTTCTGTCCTCGGATTCACGCTTCCTTCGGATTATACTTTTCCTTGTTTTTGCAAGACGCTCCACGGCTCAATATTTTATAAATTCGATAAATTTTTCCTTTGTCCAAGGATTCAATTTTTAAATTCCAACAAATTTAATCCGATTATTTGTTCCCCCCCTCCCGAAAGACGAAACGTAACGAAATAACTTTCGGAACGCGTTAAGATAGAATCGTCGCGTTTCATTTTCGCTCTCGACGATTCCATTCTCTTTCGAGAGGCAATTAAATAACAAATATTTGTCGACGATTTCAACGTGAAAATAGGACGAATCGAGGATAGGGGGGGGGGAGGAGGGAAGATACAAACCACGTATAAAAAGGTCGGTATAAATCTACGCGAGGGATACTTTTTCTTCTTCTTTTCTCTCTCTCTCTCTCTCTCTCCCCCTCCTCTTCCGAAACTGCACGCGAGCCGAACGGGAGGCAGATGCGCCCCCGCGAGGGAACAGCTGTACGATTGTCCGTCTCGTTTCCACGTCCATTCGTTGTTCCTCGAATCTCCTCGAAAAGCCCGGCGAAAAATA